CCAGCAATGCCCCTATGCCCTGTTTATTGGCCAAACCAGATAGTCTCTATGACAAAGGATAAATTGACACAAATTAGATATTCAAAATGGTAACACACAGAAACCTGTAGGGGAACATTTTAAACTACCTGAGTGCTCATTAATGGACTTAAAAGTAACCATTCTTCTACAAAGTAATTTCACAAGCCAACTACACACAGAGAGAGCAGAATTGACTTTCATATGCAAATTAGATATCTTCTCACTTGGTTTGAACTAGTTAACATATTATAACGTCATATTCAACACTCTATTGACGTCAAAAGCTAAGTATGGGACCTTTCCAGCTCACTCATTTAGCTTCATTAGCACCAGGACTATAACTGACAGATAATTTTTTTCTGTCCTCTCTCCCTTCTTATTCTGAGGAATCTTCTCTTTTCTCCACTCAAGATCACCTCATCTGAAGTGGGTTGTGCCCACATAAGCTCATTATACTATACATATATTTTTATTAATCTCTTAAGGTGCCATAGGACTACTTGTTTTTTTAAAAGTTGTTTTTAAGGTTACAGACTAACACTGCTACCCCTCTGTAACTCAACTAAGTTTAACTAACAAAGTGAACTAATGAACTATGCTCTGATAGGACACTACTGATGGCGCTTGCCAGAGCAAAAGCAAGAGGTTCCAGCTGCTGTCATCAGTTGGCAAGAAGGAATTGGGGGTTTGGCAGATTGACAGAACTGTGCATTAAGCACCATGAGTGGTGCCTAAGCCAATCCAACAGTGAAGGGAAAATCTTCTGGTTGCCATTCACACACACAGAGACCTGATTGGAACTGACATGAACAAGCACTCAAAGAAGAATATCCTGCTATGGGATTAATAGAATTGCAGAAGGTTGGCCTAAACTCCAGATGTCTCAGTCCTTCCTCATGAGTTCTTACTATTCTCAAAGTTCATTGTTTTACCTTTTAAAAAAAAAAGAGGAAGTAGATTCCTCTCCAAAGGCCTGCACTTATGTATTATTCATCACTCCTCAGTGTATTGCAGTTGCTGGAAGATAGCACTGTAAAATAATATTCTTTTAAATCAGACTATATATGATTTCCACATCTGGGCTACGCTGGAATCTCAGAGAATATACAAACTAAAACCCAATATATTCCCCCCAGCATGAATATCTGTTTTATATCTTTTCCAAAAGCATACATTTACAAGGTGATTAAAAGTAAAATTTGCCATTATTTAAAAAGCTTTTCATAACTTTCCTAGTTCTATGGCCAGACCCTCAAAATAGGACAGTACAAGGTATTTGGAAATCTGCCCTATAGAGACATAGCAGGTATTTGGAAATCTGCCCTATAGAGACAAATAATGATTCCAAGCATCCACCCAACATCCAGTATAGGATTTACTGGAGTGAGGGCAGGTCAGGGGAATGGCCAAGGAGTACAGTACTCTTAGGAGACTTCTGTAAATGCTGCAAATTAGAGCAGTCTTGGGCTACTATCAGTCACTTTGGGTGTCATTTCAGCTCCAACAGCCTCAGGACTGGAGCCAACCTTACCACACCATCTCCTCAACTGCACTGAGCAAGAATTCAGCATAGCTGAGGACTCTTCTCTTGATTTCTGATCTATCTTTCTATTTTGACTAGACATTAGTCATCTTATTCATCAATCTGCTATCATTCCATTAAATATAGGTCATTAAATGTATTGTGTTGAGTACTTCAGATCAGTTTCAATGCATTCTTCATATATGATTAAACTCTGTTGGTTTGGGGAAGTGGAATCACATTACAGTTCTGCCTTAGACTTACATCATGCAATCATAAGGAAAGTATAGATATATTAAACAGTAACTTACTATATTTCTTGGCAAATGTTATTTCTGCACTAAACTGCAGATTTTGGTCTCAGTGCCTACCCCTCACTGACATTTTATGTTCTGTTTTTCTAAATATGAATATGCTTCCTTTTCCAAGATACCTTTTGGGCAACGTGCTAGTCTGCCAGCAACACACTAAGTATTATATGATTCATCATTCTAAGAAAGTGGTCCATCACAACTGAATTCCATATTTGGTCTTGCATATCTCCACATACACACACACACAGACACTGTGGGAGTACACAAACAAAAATAAAAAGCATCTGGGCAGCACAGGTCAATAGTATTCAGCGTTATGGTGTCAGAGACTCTGGGGTTAAAGCCTATATTTTGTTTTGTGTGCATCATGTTAATATAAGGTTAGGAATTATCGCATGGGCATCTGCTAAGATTCCAATGACTAACTTGACCTGAACATTTTCCATTTTGGTTTGTCCCAGTTTTGTTTTGGCAGAATTGTAGATAATACACTGAGACATTAAGTGAAGCATTATGCTTTGCAGAAGGAATTTATCCATATATTTTGGCAATGCAGAATTACAAAAGCAACTTGGGGGAGGGGCGGGATGTGGAAATAAGTAACATTTTAAAAAATGAAGTTAGAGAAAAAAAATCCTGCCTTATATGTGTTGAATTATATGCCAAATACAGTAAACGTGTCTTTGATTTATTCACAAGACATTTATGAACAGCATTACAATGATGAAATAAATACAGAGCAGTGGAAAAAGTGGTTCACCTCCATAGAGAGGGAATAAATTACTTCACTTAGGCTATAGCTGATGAGAAAAAGGTATGTAGCTTTCAAAATAACAGAGCTGTTTAATATAACACTTCTTTAACTACATTAACTAAACCTGAGTTGTGAGTGTATATGTGTGTGTGTGTGTGTGTGTGTGTATATATATAATTACAGACACACACACACACACACACACCCACGGCGATGTCCCAAGAACTTGGATAAAATTATAGAATATGTAATACTGTAAATAACATGCAAAGAACACACAATGTTGTCGGGTAGCATAAAGGGTTTATTAGCAAGAGTTTGAGATGGGCACATTACTCATGAACAGTGAAGCCATGAGCAAATTATACAGGTCTCAACATATTCTGAAGAAAACTTCTCAGTTCAGTTTAATATTAAAAAACTCATAGGATATAATAGAGCACTAGTGTTAAATTTAAAATACATGGCGGGGATGCTTTTTTTTTTTTTTTAGTTTGTGAATATTACTGCATTTTTAAAGGTTTTTTTTTGAAATTTGATGTTTGTTCCTTGTCAAGTTCTCTGAAAATCTATGGACTGGCTATGATTTTTTTAAGTGACGAGAGGCTTTTTTATTGGTTTTTGTCCAAAATATCCTATACCTATTTATAGATAGATATATAAAAATAAATATATAATATGTGGCTCTTTGCACTCTGTCCACAGCTATTTTGGCTCTTCGTCTCTAACTGGCTGGCCACCCCTGTGCTAGGCCTTAATCCAGAGCAAGCAGCACATGCTCCCCCACACATTGGTACAACTGTAACCTAACATTACTTTCTTTTGCCCTTTCCCCACTTAGCTGCAGAGGACACAGTGATTCTGCAGAGTGTTTCCCTTCCCTATCTGGATGCAGACACCTTTATACAGTAAAACTCCATTAGTCCAGCATCCAATGCTCCGGGACTCCTGATGGTCTGGCACCATCAGGAACCTGGAAGTGCTGGGGCAGCCGGACAGGCTTCCCCCATTCAGCTGCTGCTGAAACTGACCAGCAGCTGAAACGGGGGCCCCCGGGGGCGAGGAGGCG